AAAAAAAGAGAGAGAGAGAACAGGAGACACTCACCCGGTCCCCGTTGCAACGTCTGCTATACTTGTGATATTTTCTATAGGGATGGCAGGATGAATAGATTTACCCCCAATCAAGTCGACGAGGAAGTTATGTTGGGCGTTGAGTCTGTGCTATCAGCTTTTATGGATCAAGGCGAGGCAGGCAACTGAGCAATGAACTACCTACCTAGCAGATTCCTTGGGACTGCGATTCAGCAGGTAAACCTCGTCATCTGGGGAGACCGAGGCTGTACGGGATAGGACCTTCTTAACCCGACGCCAAAGCCTTAACAACAAAGTGTGTACAAAGCCCACCATCATGATTTACGAACTAAAATACGAGGGAGAGACTCACACCCGAGATACCGGGGCCAATTCCTACATATAACGTCATGACCATCCTCCACATGTCAAGCCATGGGTGAAGGCAAACAAAAGACGTCAATGCCCATGCACAACCCTCAAGAAGGTAAATGAGTAAAAAAACCCCCTGACTCTCTTAACGAAGCCTAGACCAAGAGGATCCTTACCGAGTGGACTAATACCACTCCAACCGTTGACCCAAGGTCTCGGAATGAGCACTAAGGGAAACACTATTTGGCACGAGGGATCCACTGACAGTAGCGTGGCTTTCCGGCTCGTGGGTTGAGTGTCCACACCAACGCTAAAAATGAGCGAGTGGGGAGAGCCATGCTTGCTGCCAAGGTACTGTCCCGTCTTCGGGCTTCGAAGTTCGGGGATTGAACATGATTCAGACTAGGACAGCGATCAGGCAATACTGCATGGGGTTGCCTTGTGCTTTGATGGGTTTCATGCTTCTTTGTTTATCATGGCTTAGCGCTTCCGTAAGTATGACAAGAAGAAAGGGGAGAGAAAAGAGGAAGGAGTGTATACCCACTCAGATAGTCCTTCCTGAGAAAAGGCAGTGCTGCACTTTGAGGAACAGAGAGAAGACACAGGTTCGCTAGTTCCAAAGATGGAGTGAGCCACTCACTGGTGGAGTCGTCAACACGGCAGTACTCCGTAAAATTGAAAAATGCGGCAGTAGAAAATTCCCGAAGTTCAGGTTTAAGTGTGAAAAGTCTCCACTTCGTCTCGAAGTTTGAGTGACCTTTTCCTCTTTCATGCTGTCGTCCGGCCCAACGGACTGGGGCCACGTGCACTTGCAGACAGACCTGCATCCTCCATTACATACTCGCAGTCCAACAACAACACACACACACACACACTCACACACACACACTTGCTTTCACTATGGTTAGGTATCTACACGTAATCTAAGGTACAAAAGTACAAGGCCATCCTCGAATCACCAGATCCTCTTGGCTACCATCTCATACCGTCGAACATGATCCATGTTCAATTCCTCCTTGGAATTCTTCTCCTTTTCTTCTTTGGCCTTCAGCCGTCGTAGTCCCTCGGGATCATCCGTGTAGATCCACCGTCGGTGGTCGTCATTGACTTCCACCACTCCCCACCCACCAAACCGACGACTGCCCTCTACCGCATATTCTCGTGCGCGGGGCGGGCCACCATTCTCATGAGATGATTGCTCCGTCTCGCGCTGTTTCATCGCTCGGTAGCGGGAGCGGGCATAGGCTAATAACACCATTCCTAGGAGCAGTTTCACGATCAGTAACACCACATATCCCGTCAGAATGAGAACGACGGTGAAGATGTACACGGACTGCGCTGGGGATGGCATGGTATTCGCTAGGAGCTGCCGTAAAAAAGCGTTCATATGTGCCGCAGATGCTGGCACGATCGTCCGCAGCGTCAGCGGCGGTGGAGACGGGATCGGAGCGGGGACGTAGTGGCTATAGATAGAAGATAACGATGTCGACTCCACTGCCGTGGATGAGGGGTGTTGCGGCAGCAAAGCGGCCAGGAACATCTGATACGTCTGGACAGAAACCCGAAAGAAGAGGCAAGACAACGGGATGACCGGCAGTCCCAACCGACGGGTTAGATTCTGATCTCCAAAGGCATTCGTGTAGTAGTCTTTCGTCAGCACGTCCAAGAAACGCTTGTAGATGGCGGGGCGGGTGTTATTGAATTTGCCGATGTATGCATGCTTGAGCCAGTCAACAAGCATCTCGGATCCCAACACAACCAGAAAAGGCCCGAGGACCTGGGCGAGAGTGGGGAGAAACGAATTCACATGACTGAAGGACGCAATGATGGATGAAGGCACAATCGTGAACGACTGCGGTAGGATCGACGACATGGTTCGCGGTGGCGTTGACAACGGTGTGCTATTGGTGCTCGTCGACTGACTGCTGAAACTGGAGCCCAGGTTGCCAATGAAGTTGAATGCGCCCGTCTCGACGATATTGCGCGACGCAATGATGGTGAGCATAAGCCAAAGCTGAAAGCGCTCCACCACATCTGCGCAAGTTAACTGAAACAAGTTTTCTTTCTCAAATTTCTTAAAGACAGTGGACTTAATCTCGACAAACTGATTCGATAGTAGCAAAGAGAGCAAAGCATTTGAGTATGAATTGACAGCCACATTCAGCGTCATGACCTGATAAAAAAGCGCCGTGGCATGTACCACCGTGTAGGCCAACGCCAACAGGAAGAGCCCAAAAGGCCGGAAGACTTTGCTTCGTCCATTTGGCCGACGTTCCAAAGCCTCCCGCGAGAAAAGACACTCCAACACATCCTGTCCGATGGCTGCAAATAGCCGGTCGCTGACTTCCAGCACGTTGTAGATCACGTAAAGTTTGATGGCGGCCTGTCCTCGGATCCAGTGATACATCCGGCTTGCGTCAAAGTACATGAGAACAGCGCATGTGGCAATCATTAGTAGACCCTTGAGAATATCTGCCTTATCATCAGGAAGCAGTGCGGACGGAATGGACTTTTGTCGGCGGTGTTGATACTTGTGATGTGTATCGGAGCGGCACCGTCTGCGCGCCTCCGCTGCTTTCGCTTTCATATCGCGTTCAGTTCCAGCTGGCTCCTGTCGCGACCGGCCTTCAGCTTCTGAAATCAGGTGCGTTCCATCTCCCGATACCTTGTTGCGCCTTCGCCATACTCTTCCCACGCCTTTAATAATAAAGCTGGAGATAAACCGAAACTCGACCCCCAGATTAACCATCCAAGATTCTAGCAAAATATACAAAGCTTTCACAAAGCGAAGAGGAAGTATAGTAAAGGAATAGAGCCATGAGTCTAAGCAAGCCAGTATTCCAAACCAAAAGACCTGCTCTAGCACTGGCGGAAGCATAAAAAGTTCATGAGCCGCTCAAGCTTCACGCGAGAGGACTCATACGGGAAGTCGCTGGCGGCCGAGGGATGTATGTACAAGGGGGAGGGTCGGCCCGATGCAAGTTCTAATTGTAGGTAAGTCGGAACAGACAAAGGAGGCAGGGGAATAGACGGTGGCATGGGTGAAGGCAGTGCAGAATCGGCCATTTGTGGTGCAGAATTCAGGTTCTTAGAGTCTGATTCCCGACCTATGCTGGGACGATCCTGTTTCGACCGGGATGCCCACGTTTGTGCAAGGCGCTCGTTGCTGGGTAGCGTTTGTCGCCGAGCGGAGGTTGGGGTAGAAACAGCCCGTGAGCTTTGTGAGCGATGTCGAATTGACGATGTGGGTGGTCTTGCCAAGCCTCCGTCAAAAGTGAATTCTTTGTTTGTTTGGGATTTCGTGGCATGATCGGGTGGTAACTTTATATCCTTTAATAGGGGCGAGGCATCGTCCGTCAAGGTTATTTGCGAGTTTGAAGCATGCGTTTGATCAGAAACAACCCTGTGACTTTGTTCGTTATCTGCCGCGCGATAAGGAATCGACTGAGGTGACGAAGTGAGTTCTTGTATTTTGGCGGGAGATAGTTTCGGAACACGCTCTCGATCCTTGTCCTGGTTCCTGGCTGGAGAGACCTCTCTAGACCACTGGTTTAGAACAGTCGCAACTTCGGATCCATCAATGACATCCACCAAAGAAGTCCTATGTGACTTGCTGCCATTGACAATGTCAGGTGCCTGAGAATGCTCAAAGACCATGCCAAAAGCCTGATCGGGTGGTAAGGAGTGCTGTATGTTTTTCTGGTCGCCGTTCGTAGTTCGCTGACTTGCAGACCGGTGATGGCTAGTGCTGTGTCCATTGACCTGAGGACCATTTTGGTGTGGTTCTACACCCAAAGGTCTTCTCTTCGTAGCATCTGGGGCTTCGGAGACCACCGAAGCTTCGAAGCCTCCATCTAGCAAATTCAAAGGGGACGGTTGGAGCTGTCGGGTTTCGGGACATTTTCTCCTGACTTCTGGTTTCCGCTATTGCCTCCGTTTGCCTCTGTCCGGGACTCGGTGGTACCCTCTCTGAACGTGAGGACCCCGCAAAAATGTCCGTGTCCTGCTGCTTGCCGGACCTATTGTGTAACCCGTCCATCATTCGGGCGATTGCAGAACTTTCCAGTCCAGTTGTCCGAAAGTTGCGGAATTTGCGATCATCATCCGAGGCGACTGAAGCTCGAGGAAACTCGTCTGGTCTAGGGGCGGGAGGTGAGAGAAGGGGGGACACCATTGAAGAGAGCGATCAGAGTAGACATGGGATGATTGGCGAGCAGCTGAGCAACGACGCGGTATCTCGTTTCGAGATTCAGGCGGGGTTTGAAGCCATACTGACAGACGCCGGGTTTGCTGTCAGAGCCAAAAATTGAGACGGAGAGAGAGGAAGGAGAAGAAGAAGAAGAAGCGCAGTTAGTTATGCCCTCCGTAGTCGCTCCCGGTGATAGTAGCTGGCCGGTGAGGGTGGAGCCAAAAGGCGGTCAGACGGAAGTGGATTCCACTCCATTTATTCTGGGCAGTTGGGGTAAACCCCTCTATACAAGTGTTTGCTGAGAGCGAATTTTAACACCTAGTTGCTTCAGTTCATGATTAACATCTCGTTACCGGAAGCTTTAAGATAATTCTTCTTGGCTTGGTACATGCAAGTGTATATGCCCATCCTTCGTCATGACACTGCCCTCCCTCGGGTTACAGTTCCGGTTTACTACCTTGAAGACGTATTCGTGACCATAGCAGTAGGGGAAATGTAGAGGATGTTAGGGGAAAGGAAAGAGATAAAGGCGGGATCACTCAGCTTTGATTTTACTGTCCACCTGGTTCGTCCATCATCGAGCTGCATTCAGTCCAAAGGGGACAAAGAGCAAATACATGTTATCAAAACCGCGAGAATAATTTAAAAGCGTCCTAAGTCTGGCCCCTCTACCCTCTTCTCAACATGGCTTCAGGTACAGCATATCGGTGCAAGAGGCCACCCTACGATGTCCTTCAGTTCTATCTGAGCAGCGACAGTTACAAACTATACAAAGCTCCACCCAATAAACCTTTAAACTCCAGTGCAAGGGCTACACCTTTCATCTATCAACCTCCAGTTGAAATACTCCACTCCATGCTTCTCAATCTTGACCTACACAGCATAGGGATGCTGCGTCGAGCGGACAGGCTAGGAAGATAGTTAGTGGAATCACTACCTGCGTACTTCTTATTGAAGACCCATGCTTCGCACACGCTATCTATCATCGACGCTACCAAATGCTCTTCATATTTCCCATACAATGGCTTCTACAGAGTTCTATCATCCATGGTCTCAAACATGTCCCGATTTTGAACCCCTTCTCTGCTTGCCCACTTTTTCGCGCTCATGCTATAAACGTAGTTACCTTCGACCAGAATCTGAATTGGCACGAGTAGCTGGTATATGCTTGCACTTTGGACTGAGACAGAAAGATATCAGATCGCTCCCAGTTATTTACAATATTGAACCGCTCCGATGCCGCTTGGCCGATATTACTCAACCAAAAGCCCTGGGGATACAGATTCATGGAAGTTGAAAGGAGATGAAACGGGTATATAAGGCTGGCCTAAAGAGACGCGAAGAAAGTTACCAATGTCGTGTTCAGCAATGGAAAAGGAAACAGCGTCAAGGGATCCATGCCGGACGCCCTAGACCGCGGTCTGCTCCTACTTCCCTGGTTGTAGACGAGGGAGTTTCATGGAGGATGCAGGCAACAGTTGCATTTCCATACTGGGATTACCGGACACAGACATTGGAGCCAGGTACCTACTGTACCTATCACTGGGAGGAGGGTAAGGCGGATGATTGGAGACGTATGGAGACGATTTGGGATCTACACTCCCCCAGCAGAGAAGCCTATTATCGAGCATTCTTGGAGGCTGATATACCTCAGTATTTCTTATATTGTCCAGCAGTGAGGGCAGACTATGACTTTCAGAATAAACAGGCAGGGCTAGGGCAATATACGAGGGATGGAGCTGATTTCATTGTTCATCCCAAGGTTCCGATGCTGATGCCAACTTTGGGTATTTTCAGACATTCCATGACATTCAGATAGATCTCCAAGTGATGGTATCATCAAGGTAAGGTCTCAAGGAAGAAATTTGACTTTGAGGATATAACAGAATGAAACGTTGTAGGCAGGGTATGAGCGAAGCATTTAATACACCCCGTATCTGTGCAATTAGTACTAGGATCGTATTTCCATACTTTTGTTAGCAGGGTATGAAATAACTAACACTTAACTTATCTTACCGCCTCCTTCATACTGTAGTATTCTTTAGTGTTCTATTGTTCGACTTGCCAAGGTATATCCACGATGGTTTGTGTAACTTGTTATACCAGTGGATCGAGTACATTTGAAGCTCCTTAGTTAGCATCTAATTGCAATAAGGGTATCAAAAACCGGTTGTTTGACCAAAACATCCAATTTTAAGTCTCTAATATGAAGTCGTACGAAGGAAAGGAAAAGATTCGCGACAGGCTTCAGCCCTCAGAGTGGATAAATTCCAGCCCCCTGGGATAGCCACAGTACAGGGGTAGATCCCGATATCAGTGACAAATTCATACTCAGCCTCTCCATGCCTTATCTGAGAGGATGGCAACAGTATATTCAATGCGCTGGCTGCCTGGTTTAGCAGCAAGGACGACAAGGTGAAGGTGCATAGCGATGATTTGCCAAAGACAAGCTATATACTTGGGTGTTTAACGAATAAGGCTTCTCAGGTTTCTCATTCATGAAGGAAGCCAAGGTAAAAATTCGGTTTACGCGAGGCTCTCATTTACAGAGAAAATAAATCCTCTTGGGTTTTGAGCTTGGGACTTCTTTGTGCATCCAAGGGCACGCCGATACAAAGCCGTCAACGTGTAACAGGGGAGCAACACACATATGGCAGCAAGATAATGAGAAACGATCAGATATGAATTTATATTGTGGATCTTTGAATAAAGCTCCATATCGAGAAAAGTGCTGCGCAGGGTAATGCTCTTTCTGAACTTATTAGCACTCTATAATAATACATCGCGCCATTCTTGTATGAGCGCAACTTCTCAATTCAGGTTACGATATCTTACCCCGTAGAGCATTGTATACTACAGTCTGTACTATAAGGCAAGCAGACATGCTTTGGAGTCACTGGCCCTCACAATTATGACTAAAAGACAACAAGAGGTAGTTACTAACAATATAGATAATATTCAATGCCCAATAATGTGTGGTTATGTCCACAATACAATGCTAGATAATCTGAAATCATGCTTAGTCCGATACTTATCAAAAGAATAAGACTATTTCTAATAAATACATTCATCGTAGCTACATATAACCCTGTCCATAATTCTGTGGCTGAGGCGGATACGCTCGGTTGGAGTAGGTTCGTGCAGGTGCAGACCTATTATCGTATTCGGCCAACGGCGCGAACGTTCTCGGTCCTGACTGTTGATACACGGGAGAATTTGATGCGAATTCCCTCGCAAAAGGTGCTGGGGAATTTCTGGAAGGCGGATTGAATGGTGCATAACCATCGGGTCCTGGGGGCCGCGGTGCTCCGCGAGGTGCGGCATGTGAAAAGTTTCTCATCGTTTCCTCATCCATGCTAAAATTGGGCTGGGGTCTAGCTGGAGGTTGACCTGCCGCACCAAACGACCGCGTAGGATAGCCAGCCAGCGAAGGCAGGGTAGGAGTGCCGCTAGGACCGGGAGGCGAAAAAGTTCGAATAGGCCCGTTCTCTTCTGGTGACATACTCCTTCCTGGTGTCAGAGTTCGTGCCGTAGTATCTGTTGGGCTATATGAGTGGTATGGCGCAGGTGATGCGAGATCGTGAGACGGGTATGTCTTATAGGGACTGTGAATGTCGCCGGTGTCTCCAAAAGCATGCGCCGGAGCCATACCATTCACTCCACCATCTGAGGCGGCGGGTGCGGGTTGTGGCGTGCTGTTGAACCTTGACATCGGTGTTTGAATCCGAGAAGCAGGCGTAGGAACCTGAGTTGGGAGAGGAGGTACTGGCGGCGCTGGAGAGCTTTGGCGATCAAGAGGACTATATCCCGAGACTGCCGTACTTCCCGAGAGCGAAGTGGACGCGGAGTAGGCCGATGATTGAGTCATTGTTCGGCTGAGCGGGGGTTTGTCTTCGAACGCTGCCACACTCGGAAGGGTCGGAGCCCGGTCCGGTGCAGCTTTCTCTGGGCGTGATGGGTGCGACGGCAATGTGGTTTGCGTTGTGCTGCGCGAGAGAGTTGTGACAATCGGCGCCTTGTCATTACCACCGACAGTGGGCAAGGTGGGATGCGTATCCAGACCCATGTTGGGTTGGGTTGGTGTTCGCTCCTGTAACGCCATGCCCTTGGCCAAAGCTTTGTTCACCTTCCTGCGCACAATGCGAGTGAGTCGAGTTTTGATCTTTCGTCGACAGTAGGCTTTCAGGGAGCCATCTTGCGAAGGGATATGATGGAACAAAAAGATGAGGTACAAGATGATGGCGAGCGCCAGCTTCAGGATAGATAAAACCCAAATTATCAAGGTGAAAAGCATGCCAAAGAGGACCAGGGCGCGCAGGTTGTTATTTTCGGCCAAGATCTTCACATTATCAAAGAATTGTATGACCGGGGATGAATCATTTGTGTCAGGCGCATTCTCCCCACCGGGAAGCAGGTCCATGCGCATAACCGAATACAACGTGATCGCATTGACGACTTGACGCGGCCCATCGGCGAGGAGGACATTCATCCAAGCTAACCATCGAATTAGTATTCATCGGACCGAGAACTGACAATGGCTACACCTACTCTCAAAGGAGAAATATGCAAACAGAGCAACGTACTCGGCCCCTTTTCTGCTTTTGGTGAGCTCGGCAAAAACAAGGAACCGCTTCCATCCATGACCACTAGCCCACAGGCGAATACTTTGAATGCGCGCGGCGAGAGAGTCCAGGTAACTCTGGGAGATACTGCCGGACCGAATGGCGCGAATAGCACGGATCCATCGCAGAACCAAGAGAACGAACGAGATGATAATACAGACGGCAAAAATCCACCGAGAAACGGTAAAGGGAATGGCAGGCTCAATTTGTCCGGCCCATTTCGAGAATGCCAGTAGATTAACGGCAGTGAATGTGTCGACCGCGTACACCGCTATTGAAATCACGAGGAAAACCCAAAGAAAGAAGTAAGAGAATGGCGAAAGACAGGACTCTGATTTGAAGTCATTTAGATTCTACGGAGTATATCAATGTTAGCCAAGGAACATCGAACAGGGGGGTTCTCTACCCGAGGGAACGCACGATGTAGTCCCATTGTTCCTCCAGGGATACCGGGCCTTTTTCACGATCGCCGCAGCAAGGCATTCTGTGCGTCCTCGGTCCTGCCGAGAAGCCAAATGAACGACTCTGCGAATGTGTCCAAGGAGGGGCAGCCAGTCACAGACAGGCAGGATGAACTTCGTCGGGCCAGCCGGGAGAAGGGAGAGATTGCAGCAGGCGCGATAACAGCGACCGAGGAAGTTGTGTTTCTTTTGTAGGGAGAGCCGATCTCAATAGCGAGTGACAAACAAGAAGTTTGAAGTGGATCTTGTTCGATCGGCGGTTGCGAGAATCAGTGGCGCATCGCCGTTGGACAGTCGCAGGGCTGGAGATCGCAGAGACACGCGTATATCAGCTCCGGCCCGTCATACAAGGGCCATTGAGCTTGTCCAAAAGCGAAAGTAGAGCTCTGAAACGAAGGAGAGTGATGTGTGCGACTCTTTGTCCTCTCTGAAAGGGGATGATGGGACTAGCGCCAAGATCAGGGCTTTTGGGCGCGTTTGGAGACCGTCGCAACCGAGATGGAGAATTGCGGGGACTCGGGCAAACACAGGGCGGGATTCTGGATGGTTGACTGGGTCGCAAAGAACGAACGACTGGATTGACAGCGGTTAAAGAGGGTCGATTGAATCGACAGCCACCAACGAAAGAGAACAATGTGAGAAGAATGGAAGCGCAGTTATGCAGGAGCCCCTGCGATGAAACACGAGGAGAATGCGCAAGGAATCCAATCACGTTGGAGGGGCAATCTGACATTGCGCGGTTAAGGTTCAGGAACCATTTCATTTCATTTCGGAGGTCTTTTCCTTTCAGAAACACTATCCGTTCGATCAGCAGAAGAAAGACGACCACCACAACAAAAAAGGAACAGAAAAATTGACAACAGGAACACAAAGACAGTAACATCTCGTTTTTCTTTCAAGGTTCAATAAGCTTTTCTTTGTTTTCACTGGAGTTCTTATTTTCCAAACTTTTTTCTTGAATGTGGTTGTCTTCCACAAGCTTCCCCACTCCTGACTTGGCATCATTTCCAAATGGGATGGCGAGGGTCATTGCGGAAAGGAAGTGGGCGCGAAGCGTGTGTCTGTCCCACCGAAGGGGACCCCATAAAATGCCCAACCCACCGACACACGCACGGGCCAACTTCCGTTGACAAGTAACCCTGGAGGTAAAAAAGGGACGATGTACATATATCATACGGCATGTGTTTTGTCCCACAAAAGGGGACCCCAAGCCCACCGCCACAACACACAGAAGTGCCACACGATAGCTAATGGCCGACGCAGCGTGCGCCTGTCCCGCAGAAGGGGACCCCAATCCCGCCACCACAGCACACAGAATGCTACGTCGCCGAGGAGGAATCGGTCATTATATCTAAGCGCACACCATGTTTTCCCAAAAAATTGGGAGCCCCGCCACGTCCTCGTCCCCACGGGTCGCAAGGAGAGTTATAACGACTAAATCCTCCACCCACTGCGAATGATCACCGAAACTACCAGGCGCACAGGATAAACAGTGCCCCATGATCCAGAACTTTGTGCAACACCCCCCGGAGTGGAGCTCACAAGTCCCTATAGGAGATCAGGGGATAGTGGGCAGACGCCTGTTACCCTGACGGCGCACAGGCGTCGATGCCGGCGTCGATGCCGCCGCCGCGTTGGACAGCGAGATGCGGAGCTTTTGGCACTCGTCCTCCAGCTCGCGCGTCTTTTTGCCCCAACGGATGTTATCCTCCGTCCGCGCTCTTTTCTCATTACTCAGAGCCTCCCGCAGCTTTTGAACGCCCTCCTGGGCCACCTGCTCAGAGGTACACATGACCCCTTGGTTGGCTTTGTCAAGCTGGCGGCGGAGGTTGTTGATTTCGGCCTGCTGCTGGGAGACCGTCACCTGGCTTTGCGCGAGCGCAGTGGAGATCGACCCCACGTCTCGGGTGGGACGCTTTGGTATCTCCTGCGAACTACGCGAAGCTTCCCAACGGGACAGGCGGTGCTCGAGGATCTGGATCGTCCTCTCGGCAGCAGCCGCCTGCTCCTGGCTCCTCTGAGCGTCCCTCATCGCCATGCCGATCTTACCTTGGAGATCATTGACTTCCGCTGTAAGGTCGGAAGCCCGTTTCTGGGCCTGGGCGGCGGCGGCACGTTCCTGCGCGAGAGTCAAGTCACAGGTGTGCTGGAGGTTCGACATAGATTGCCGAAGAGCCACCTCAGCTTCGTGTGCGCGAGTGAGAGACACTTGCGCGTGCCGCGCCACGCTGTCTGCCGACGACTGGTTAGTCGCAAGCTCGGCCTCCAGGAGCATGACACGCCTGAGGGCGGCATCCCGTTCCTGTATGGTCACCGAGGAGTCACGGAACTGCAGGTGCAGCCGGTCGTGCTCGGCCTGGAAGGCCTGACACTGGGCCATGAGCTCCTGGTTCTGGGCGACGAGGTCGTTATTGTAAACAACGAGGTTCTGGCGTTTGGTGTCGGTGTGGCCGCGAGATTGCTGTTCTCGGGCCTCTGCAGCGGCCAGGCGTTGCTCGAGAGTTACGAGCTGGTCATTCCAAGCTTGAAGCTCGGCTCTGAATGACTGGTGCTCACTCAGGAAATCGGCCTCCGCCTGTTCCCTCTCCCGGGCCAGCTGCTCTTCCAGCTGGGCGACCCGTTCGCAGAGGGACCGCTCCTTCGCAGTGGCATCGTCCTTCACCTGCCGCAGTTTTCCCTGGGTAGTGCTGAGCTGCCCTTCCTTGACCGCGAGCTCCTGGCGGAGTTCCACGATGACAGTCGTCTCGCGGGGTCGAGCCTCCTCAACGGGATCCGGTCGGGCAGACAGTTTCTTGACAAGCGCCCAGCCGTCCTCCATCCGTTGCTTGACTACCCTAAGCTCTCGGTTCTAGCAATGAGGAGCTCCTTCTGCTTGGTGATCACGCCTTCGCACTGATCGATCATATTCCACAGGTCAATCTCACGCGGCGTCGGGAGCGTCCCTCGGAGCTGTGTCTCGTGGCCGAAGTGGTCCACTCTTAGGGCTGCAGGCTGCAGCTTGTCGGCAAGTGGGGAAGAGACGGCCTTGGCGAGAGCGTACCAGGAAAGCACTGCCAGAATGGCACACGAGATACTGGTAGTGACGAAAGCAATGGCGTAAAGGTGGTGGATCTCGCCTTCAATCAGGCGTGGCAGCTGCCAGTCGTCTCGGATTATCGCACGTAACTCTAAGCCGGTCTCTTGGCCGCAGCAAAAGGCTACTTCGAGCCACTCGTGCCGGTTCAGCCTCCCCTGTTCGAGCTGTCCGAAGACGTCGAAGCAGTGGTACGAAAGCTCCTCTTCTGACGAGCTCAAGGCCATGATGAGAGCAGAGACATGCCAAGCTGCAGGGAGCAACAGATCGTACATGACCGTTGTCCCGCAGATAAATGACAGAGACAGTCGACACACTGTTGCAAGGGGGCGATTGAACGGGAAATACCAGTCCACCACGGCGGAGACGGGACGGCTGAGGCGGCTCTCGATAATCCGGCTTTTGACCCCATCCTCGAGAGTGCGTAGGGTAGTGAAAACGTCGGCCAGAGACCGAACGGCGGCAAGCTGCATGAGGAGCCAGCTTATACCGAGTACCACTGCGCGGATGGGCCGAACGGCTGCCGTCAAAAGTGCCGAGATCCAGGAGCTGAGGACTTTCCAGTCGCTGGCGATGTATGCGAAGGTGATTATGGCCGCGAAGATGATCGCAGACCCCGCTGTGAGATCGGCGTAGCCGAACAGCGCCAGACCCGAGACGAGCTCAGGGTCGATAATCTCTCCAAACAAAAACACCTGCTCAGCTGGAGAAGTCATGTTGGAAATGATTGCTGTACAGATTGTTTGTCAAAAAAGGGCCGAGAAAGGTTTAGAAGAACCGAAACCTGTATCAGGAGCAATGGCTTCACTGATCTGAGGAGGCCTGGTTTGACCAGGTATGGCTATAGGCAGCCAAAAGTAGTATGAGGATGTGAATATTGCGCTGTCTGCGATAGGCTTCAAGCTCAATGAATGCTTTGGGCTCTCAAGCGCTGGCGATCGGTTTGAAAGAGTTGATGATCGTGAGAGGGAGGAGAGGAGACAAAGCTGGGGGGTGGCGCAGAAAGAAGAAGGAGCAACACAACACGTCTGTTAGGCAACGACTTCACATCAAACAGTGAATTAATGTCCAGGTGGGAAATCAAGGCATACGGCCTAGAACCAGATAAAGGATGTCACTAGCCCCAGATTGATTGGCTGGACAAGGGGGAGCTTCAGCCGGCTGGATGCCTATGGGCAGTGAAAATGATAGAGACAGACGTGCTTCAAAGGATGTGGGTTGAAGATTTGTCCAGTCTACAGACAATGTACATCGAGCTTAGCAACCCACAGAGACATGTAGCATTTGAAGGACAAGACAACTTCTAACAACATGACAATATAGGAGTTGGCCTCAATTGTAACAATGACCAGAGACAATGGCCTTTGTTCGATACGGAAGATTGCATCGTATATGCTAGTTCCCTGTCTCTGTCTAGGGGACTTCCGAACTAGAATGTCCAATTTGTAGAAGCCACTCTTCTGGTATCTACTACCGAAAACCTGTCGTAGTTGTATGAAGTGTGGTCCTGGTATCCCACCCGGGCTTAGATTCTTGATAATGTGATGAACCTTGAATATCCCTACCAACTAAAAGACAAACAGACGAAGAAAGATCCAAAAAAAAAGTTGACCTGGCTGTTACTGTTCAGTAGAAAAACAACAACACCAAAGAGCTACTAAATGTTAGTATCATATCGTGAATTATTTCTGTTTCATATGTATACTGTTTTTCAGTGTCATAACAGTGATGAAGATATGTCATGCATTCATATTCATATTACTTCACTTGTATATAAAGGTGGTTCAATGAGCTCGTCCTCCAAACGATCCAAGGAAAACTCTTAGTAAAAGTCTATCCCCGAACTATCCACTGATAATGTATATGGAAAAATTCTATACAACAATACCATCACTACAATCACAACCCAAGACATATAGACCTCTCAAAGCTCCAGCACCTACAAATCAGTCAGTATTCCAATCCCCAAAAAGTTCCCAAGACCTAGGAAATAATCAAACATACCATATCAACCCACCCCCCACCGGCAAACTGACACCGACTCAGCCCCCGATTCACAAATCCCGCACTCTCATAGAACCGGATCAGATAGTCATGACATATCAACACAATTCGATCTGCCTCTATTTTCGCATTCCGGATATACTCCACATACTCCTTAACAAGATAATTTCCCACCCCCGTCCCTTGATACGCAGGTAGAACTGCAACCGAATGAACGGCGATATTAGTACCCCGCGGATCATTGCGAATGACCTCTCCATCTATTATTACAGGGTCGTAGGGGGAGTGAGACTGCCAGTTACTGGGCATCTTCATAGAGCCTTCGGTTATTGTTGTCGAGAGGGATCGAATCCCGATAACGTTGGCAATGAGTTGTTCCGTGTTATCTGTTTTTATAAAGAGGCCGAGGCAGAGTTCCGGGGTTCGGTTGAGCCGGTATAAGAACTGTAGTATGAGTTTAAGTATGTGGTTTTGGTTTTGATTGGGGTTGGAAGGTACCTTTCTTCTGAGCATCTTTCCTGCTCTACGAATGCGCTTTCAACTGTTACGCAAGACTTGAGGTCTGTGGCGGTTAGAGGGCGAGTGAAGGCGTTTAGTCCGGCTAGGGCTGGACATTGTAAGGGTTTGGTTGACGCCATTATAAGGGTGGTTTTTGAGTTGGGTTATTTTGGTAGATGTTGTGCTCAGCGTTATATTTGTCTGTTATATACTCCGGAATATGTACAATATCCACTTGCAAAAGAGTCATGCTTCGTATTACTCCCATACGTATGGGTCTACCTGGAGGAGAAGCTCGCCGAGGATCAAAGCTCCCGCGAATCAGAGAAGATTAAATAGAGGGACCGCGCCCTACGCCCACGCCTTGCGCCGCTAAGTGGGTCGTTCTCAATCTACCTTACTACGTAGTACGTAGTATACTTACACAGGGTATGCAGTGGTGTTTATATTGTCGCATTAAGATGGTAGAGAACATAGCATTGGGTTCTTTTGGATCGCATGGCATCTACTGGTCTAGGTACAGGGCATTTTTGTAGGGAGTGGAGTCAACATGCGTGTTCAACCTATCGTCTATGATGTACAAGATGTGTTTCGCGTTATATATATGTGTATGTTCTCCTGTTGATCTCAGGATTTTTAGGCCGAAGTTTTCAATTCCTTATCCATTGGAACAACGTAAGTTGTACCTCCCTACGGAAAAGTTTTAACTAGTGGTCTCTTACTCAACTTGATTCTTTCCTCATTCTATACCTGTTGTACTGCGCATCTAAGTTACGTCTGTATTGAATTCTTGCCCCTGGTATAGGGCATCCGACCCCAGCCATGGAGTGCAACATCATTGCTGAATCATGTTCAAGCAACAATATCCATAAAAATCAGTGGCCAGAATGGGGGCTCTGTCAGGTCGTATTCAGGTACGAGAAGGAACCGCAATGACCATTGCTGCCCAGAACAGTGAGTATGATCACATTAAAATCACACCTGTACTTATCCACTCAACATTATGAGAAGCTTTCTCATCTTGATACATGGGACATTTCGTCTACTGGATATGCTAATGGTATCATCCTTCGTTGCCTGTCTCTGAAGGAGGGTGGTATTAGGTGGCTTTGAACTACTTAAGGCTCTGTTGTAATGATACAACTCTGGTTCTCTCTTGAAATGATGTAGTTTATACACTGTTTCAACCACACTCGGCTTCTATAACTTGCTACTGGCATCAACAAGAGCACTTCCACGCATTCCATAGTCATCTGGTGGTAGAACGAGACTGCATTATCTGATATATTTAACATTGGAAAAACTAGTTATCTCGAAGCGAAAGTAACAAATCTTTTTTTTTTTTTAAAAAAAATATATATAAACCCGAAACCAAAATATAAGGATTAATGAAAATAAGGGATTTCTCATCGCCCGAACGGACGCTTGGCCGGCACAGTGCGTTGAACCGTGTTCATGCGACCACGAGGTACTGGAAATGCAGGTAGATCATCGGGAAGTAAGAGATTTTGGTGGGAAAAGATACAATCATATTGATTTCCAAGTATCTCCTTCAGGCAGCCCTTTTGAGATAACTCGTCCAGCATGGAGTTCGCGGTTTGTGCTCGTGTGACCCAGGCTTTGTAGTCGGAAACAAGCAAAGCCTGTGTTTTTTCAACTCGCAGCTTGGGCGGGTTGGCTCTAACTGTAGTTGTGGTGAAAAATGCTTTATCAATTTGCTGGTCCAAATGCTGCCTGCACTTGTCTCCCAGCGAGAAATCCTTTGTTGTGCTGGACGTGTCATCGATGAACGTGCGCAGAGAGGCACAGTTGGGGCAGATGCATCGTATGGTCGTCCTCTTTTTCCAGTCCGGTGGTGGCGACGGAGGGGCCTCTGAGACGTAGTCACGCACATATCTGGCCAACATATGTTTGATGAATCGTCGTTCGCTGGCTGTAGAAGAACGGTTTGTCATATCTATGTGTGCGCAAATGCCGTTCGCTACTGGGAATAGAAAGTCATGAAAAGCACTCTCTGTCTCTTCCTTGACATCCAAGGCATGTTCAGTAAGGGTGTTGATTACGCCCGTGCTGTCATTGCCTGTAGCATCAGCAAACTGAATCAACTTAACTACCAGACTCGGGGAGATCCTCGAAGTAGTGTTTGATAAATCGTAGTTGTAAACTCTTCTGTATGAGCTTTGATTAGGATGTGAGCTTGTCGCGCTTTCAATCTTGAAAGATGCCACAATCTTGGAGAAGAGCGCTTTAAGTTCTACATCTGCGTTGGCCTTGTCAAACTTCCCAGCAAGCGAGTAGTCATGAGCCGACGTAAGGAATGCCACAAGAAAAGCCGTGTTATCCAATTTGGTTTCCAAGAAGGGCACGATCCTGATGAAGTCAGCTCTATAATCCTTACCCTAAATGAGAATACCTTTACCTTGAGAGCGCCCTGTTTGAGGGGAAATCACTTATTTCTCTTGCCAGATCATGGCCATCTGATTCTGTGCCTCCACTATGAGCAGTGAATACCTCAGAAACATCGTCACCACAATACTGTTCAATCAACCTATAAAGCAATTCTATTTTTTGAGAAAACGAGGTCTTGTATTGGCTTCCACTAGACTTTTCCTTCTGGATGAGCTTCTGCAGGCTGCAGGAGTAGGTCAGTGTTTGAGCGTTATACAATGGTATGTCTTTGACTTACGAGGAGTAAATAGCGTCGATCCCGGTTGTGAGATAACCTTGGCTATTTGGTTGACTTGGGCGGACTGAGAGCGAAAAGACCTACTGTAAAGCCACTCCATAGCCCGACAGAATACATCCACGTCAGAAAGCTCAAGAGCGATCTGCAAAACCTTATCTTGCCCTTCTTGTGGCCTGGCACCCAGGTCGAACAAGTTATTCACTGGAGAAATCGCCCTGCAGACTTGTAAGAGCTTTTGCTTCGCCTGCATGTCATTGGGTTGTTCTAACACGGCACAGTGACAGTCTTCCAGGACCTTTAAAGCATCGCCCTGGCCATTTTTCAACTGGTGGATTGTAAACAAAAAGCGAAACCTTCTTGGGATTATCAGTGCGCCCTGGAAATTTGTCATTAGAAGCAAAAATACAGAAGAGAATAGCAGACTGCGCATAGGTCATTATGATCAGCCTGAAGCCTTACCGTCTCGTGGTAAAAGTGGGTTGCCGAAGCCCCCTCATTGCCTGTGAAGCCTTGAAAGTCTTCCTTATCGGGATCGCGGTCGAAAACACCATTTTGCATGAGTAGCAGGCCGGGGAATGATAGATTCCTTCCAACAATAACACCTCCTGAGTCCACCACATGCGACATCTCAAGACTGGTCTCAATTAGATCTGCAATACGGTGAATGCCGTTACGTCCCCGGCCATAGAAGTCGCCGTAATAGTCCTCATAACCATCAACTTCACCTATGTCCTTTTTCTCAATGTTAGCCAGGAAGAGATCGAAGCCGGCCCTTTGGCATGCATCCCGGAGTCCTGCAAAGCGACACTGGTCAACCCCTTTCAGCCGAGAAAAGCGAAGCTCCGCACTGGTATACTGGTGCTCAAGAACATAGATGAGTGCTTGTGGGCAAGAGCTATTGATGTCATTATCCCAACCATCTAAATATTGCATGCTGTCGATTTCAGCGGCACATGCCCAAGATTGAAGCAGACGAGTAATATTCTCTTTACTAGCGCCATGAGGTTCCAGTAGAGCGGCTGACGGTCGATGTATCAAGTTGTAAATCAGGACAATCCTATATCCGGATGTAACAGGCTTCACCTCGTGAGTGACATCTGCATACCAAGCAGCCCATGACATCCCAAAATCAGAGGTTGGTGCTGTTTGAAACGTGAGGCAATCATCCCTATGAGAGACGATCACATCCCCTCCTTCGTGTTTCGATGGGAGACATACAGCGAGCGTGCCGAACATACCATCGGCTTTCTCAGAATCTCGGTGTGGCAGAAAGAATGCGCCCTCCTGGTAGATAAGTAATTTGTATAACTCCGCCTTAACCTCCCGCCAATCTGCCGTAAGGCCAAGACCAGTTACAGCTTTGTCCATGAATAGTTCAACCTGGTGTTGCCATCTTGGGTTCTGAAGAGCAAACTGGCTTGCGTCGAGTTGCCAACTTTTCCGTACTGATTCGTCTACCAGGGTCTCAGTACCCTTTCCGTAGGGGCTCAGATGGCAGGACTGGATTATTGCCTTCGCATGTTCAGCTGATATAGGAAGCCCAATATTCCCCACATCTGGAATGTAGAGGCCAGGATTGATGGCAGTATGAATATTCGCACTCGTCATAAACGATCCTGAGGGCTGAATGTCATCTAGAGCGAGGTTGAGACCCTTTTTAATGTCGATAGTGTCACCTTCATTATCCGATAGAGCCATTTTCTTTCTTCGAATATATACGTATGAGTATCAGGGGTAGACTGTATGCTAAAAAGTAGTACTGTTGTTGACTGTCCATTGTCATTGTGTGCACACAGAATCGCGTCGCGTTCCCTCGTGAAACGCTTTCTTTGTCCGGAACTACGATTTAGTCTGCACGTATTGACTTTACCAATATCAACATACGATTTTGTTGACCAATTAAATCTATTTATAAAATTTCACTAGTCCGATTCTGAGATAAATACCGCCCTTTTTAATGCCTTGAAATGTCTTTTAAGATATCTTTAGAAATTACCAGTACCCCATTTTTAGAAGTTAACAGTACGCCGTCTTTAGGGGCCATCGGAACCCTGTCTTTAGAGTCGCAATACTAGATCTTTAGATCCCCTGAGCTCTTAGTATACTACTAGTATCCCGGGAGTAGAAGTGATATTTAGGGGTGGTAAGACACTGTCTTTAGGGCCCGGTGGTCGATAGATTTGGGCAATATGTGGCGGTCGTGGCTTTATGTAAAAACGCTCAGGTTTTGGTCAGAAATGTCAACTGTCCGGAACTTCGATCTACTATCAACCGTTACCAGGCAGTGTGAAGCAATATTGGAAGCTATTATGATGTACTTCCAGCCCCTCTTGTGTCAGGCTGGAAAGACATACCGCAGTGAAGGAATCATATGACCTAAGAATAATTCAAGCAGTTCAAACAGTTTAAGCTAAGAATCTATGATCGGTGTAGATTATACTGAGTAGTGGTATGTACTGAGGTATAGGAATACTAGGCAGGCCAGTGGTCCGACGGACCACTGCCCAAGACGTGCAGAGTCAAATATTTAAATAAGCTGAAAAAATATACTAACTATAGTTTAAGCAACTTAATATCTAAAACAAAAAAAAAAAAACAAAAAAAAAAAAAAAGGCTGGGCTCACTCGTTCCTGTTCTAGAGCGAAACTAGAACGAAATGATCCCACGGCTCACCCTGGGACAGCATACAGTTCATTGTTCAGTCACTATGAGTCGAGGGGTTTGAAGTCGGCAAGAAATGGCCGAAGATAATCCACACGTACCCTTGCATTTGTCTTCTAGAGAAAAAGGACAAGCTAAATGGCTCACCTACTAAATCATCCGCTGGTTGCCCTGCTTGCTCACATTATAGTATCACTAAGCTCACCTACGCCCATCTTGTAGTTTAGCCTTGCTCGCCCATAGATCAGCGAGCTTTAGAGGGTGCTTTCATCTCTGACCGAGTTTACACAGCTGGCTTGAGCACGGCTGAGCGGACTGGAAGAAGTGTTTTTCAAACCGTCTGGTCTCATATATCTATGTGGCAATGATTTGGAATCTTGTAGCTCTTTGTACATATAGTCTAACACCTAAATATAGTGTGTTTGTAGAGATTGCGTGATCGAGAGGCTATCGAATTGCGATAAAGCTTGCTCCTTGTCCGGATTGCTTGGCTGCTTAATATGTTCACGGCGAAACGCAGCAAGCCACTCTGGGTTGTCGAAGATGGTCTGGTCCCATGGATCTTCGGAATCATAGACTAATTTCCTTGACTCTTGCTGGAGCATCTCATCTGTAGGGATGATTCCTTGCGCTAATTTCTGTCGTGTGTAGCGACCTAAGTGTGATGCCAGTACTTCCAGTAATGAATTTAGCGGATTATTAGAAGTCCGAGCTGAAGATGAAGGATATGCCGGAGCATTTAGAGTATTGCTTTCGATTGTAGTATTCCGATCCAGTCGCGATGTGATCTGATCCAGCTGATCTTTCGCATGAGCGTTGGTTACTGAAAAAGGAACGAGGCAACGAGAATCATGGCCGATATAATAAGGAGGCAGGCTATTGGTCACATGCTTAGTGATCTCTGGTAGAAAGCCATGTTCACCTCTCCAGCAATCCATAGTTGATCCATTGCGAAAATGGCTGGCTAAATGATCAACGCGCTCCTCCCACGACGACAGTCTCCTGTCACAGAACCCACAGCGCGATGTTACCGTCGGGGCTGGTGTTTTCCAATCATCAATCATAGGTATAACATCGAGGTTGTGTGTGAGGCGCAGATGTTGCACTAGGTGATCTTTGCGACGGAAGGTACGGGTACCACTCAAGCATGCCTGGTAATTGTGCTCGTCTAGATGGTCTGTCCCCGGTTCCAGCATATTGCAGTATGCGCAATGTTGCTGCCCTGTGATTGGAGAGGTCACAGATGCACCATGAGGTGTGCACGTCCAGCTCTCAAGGTTAAGATGAAGCGTTTTCTCATGTCGGGCCCAGTCATATTTGGTTCGGAACTGATCACAACAAAAGGTGCAACAAAATTTACGAGTTGGCTTAGCGCTTTTACTTTTAAGAACTCGTCCAGTGGACCGCCTGTGCGATGTTGTCAAGGAGTCGTGCGATCTTCTGGAGGTACTAGATTTGACCGATGCAGTAGACGGGAGTGAAGAGACACTCGGGGCGCTACTCTGTGAGCTGACTGTTGATACTGGTCGACGAAAGCCGATAAATGAATCATTTTCTCTAACTGGAGCAGGGTTTCCAAACGCGGAGGCTCCTGGTTGTATGCCTGCGGACGGGAGGTTCTTCAACGTGTTCATAATTGCAGACATGGATGCTGGCTCATCTTCAGGAGGCGATTCTTGCCATCGCTGCATAGGATCAGGAGCGTACAAGGGGTTTGGAATGAATTGGGGCGTGGCCCTTGATTCTGTTCTTTGAAGAGAATACCGGCTTCTTCTTCTTGGAAGACCACGACTGCCATTTGAACCGAGTGGATAAGTAGACTGCCGTGCTGATTGCTGAAGCCAACTATTTCTGTTATCAAGCTGTCCATCGTTTATTTCATCTGGAAGAAGTAGAGGCGCCTGCGGGGCAAAGAAAGCCTCATTTAACCAGTGAGATGGTAAGTCATTTGAAGTAGAGCCTGTACACCAATCATTATTTTGAAGCCACGGCACGTCTTGACGACTTGCTGCAGGCCAGGAAATCACCTGCCCTTCTGGTAAGGCGTTGTTATATGGAAGAGCCCTATCAGAGTTGTTAGGATTCAAAACACGATTGCTCCCTAGTTCGTCTAATGTATGAGGTTCAGAAGTGAATGTGGTAAGATGTCCAGTGGGCTGTGGGTCAGTATGATCGAGGCCATAAAGCGAGCACGGATCGATGATAAGGGAATTGTGATCCACTGGATGACCTAGCAGGCCCGCTAGTGAAGTTATCAGCGATCTGCTAATACACGGCTAGAAGCCTTGATATTAAAGGCTGGATCACCTTCATCTACTAATAGCGAATCGTTTGCCATGGCGCCAGTTGAAGTTTGCTAGGATTGAGGAGCCTGAGTCTTGCGCTGCTGCATCCTGCCCAAGACGTAGTACTGGTAGTAGTGTACGGAGTACGGAGTACCGTAAGAGAATATATCGCCCAGCGCAACACCAGGATCGTCAACCAGCGCAATGAGTCAAGTGATCGACCCAACACTGGGGTCACGTGTCGATAGCGAAACTTATGAGAGAACTTGCAGCAAGAATTCAAACCAGAGAAGATTGACTGGATGAAACGGCCCAGAGTACTAGTGTTATACGACACCTTTACTGCGTATGCTGCCGGTCCCACCGGATTTCAACCAGTCCTTACCGAAAGGAGAACCTCGTGGAGCCGGTCGATAACATCGGTTCCGAAGTTTAATATGGACATCTTCAAAGCTTGACCAGCGTGAGTTGAAGGTCCAATGACGCTGACTCATGCAGTTGCCACACAGGCCAATCAACGATCGACTGGTCGGCAATTGCCTTTTTCGCAGTTGCTGTCGGCCCAAAGAGGACTAGATTGTTCATTCGGAAAAATGTCCATCCCTTTGCAATTTCCTCAATCAGCAAAACATTGTGGCTGAAGAACAAGTCTCGTTGAGTGGGAAGTGATCATCCAACCCGTTCTTCTTCACTCTGCATCATCATATCCATTCAATTGCCCTACCGATTCTTCATCCGCTTCGATACGGAACTACCTAGCTTCTATCCACTCAGGGTTCCCCACTCGACGTCAGTCTCCAATCGGTGGTCGGAACCGTCCCGATCGTGACTCGGCCTAGTCTCGTCAACTAACGCATGGTCCAATTACCCGAACTGCGCCATCGAAATATGTCCCTCCAGTAGTCCGCTCCCGGTTCTCTTTTTTCTCTTCTTTTGCCCCTCATACTTCACCCACAGGTGATGGCTACACCTTCTGCAGTTCGTCTTTTGGCCATCCGGCCGGTGATATTCGGTTTTGCAAAATTGTTGATGCTTGCTTTGGGCGGCCTTCCCCTAGTCTCTGCCGCTCCCGCGACCTATATTGCTTACTCCGAAGAGAGCCCGAAGGCTCCTAGTGATCCGAACTTATGGCTGTATCTCGGGGTTGCCGCCATCCTCGTTGTGAGCGGTGGTGCATTTGCTGGTTTAACCATTGCGTTGATGGGTCAGGTAAGTCTCGTTTTCTCACTACTGAAATGGAAAAAGCCCAGCGTAAACCACTAACCTAGCATGTGCGATTTATAGGATGAGGTGTATCTACAGGTCATCAAAACCTCCGGTGAAGACTCCGAGCGAAAAAATGCAGAAAGTGTGCTCAGACTGTTAAAGCGAGGGAAGCATTGGGTATTGGTCACTCTTCTGCTCAGTAATGTGATCACAAATGAAACCCTTCCCATTGTCCTAGACCGTTCACTAGGAGGAGGTTGGCCGGCTGTTCTTGGCAGTACAGTCTTGATTGGTACGAAAATCCCTCTTTCTCTTGGCTTATTGAGCTAATCATTCATGATGATCAGTCATTTTCGGTGAAGTCGTCCCCCAGTCGATATGCGTTCGCTACGGTCTTCCTATCGGTGCTTGGATGGCTCCTTGCGTCCTGGCCCTCATGTACATTATGGCTCCAGTCGCATGGCCTGTAGCGAAACTTCTTGATAGGCTGTTGGGCGAGGATCATGGAACGATCTACAAAAAGGCTGGATTAAAAACACTAGTGACCCTGCATAAAACATTGGGTGAGGCGGGCGAACAGCTCAACTCCGATGAGGTCACAATCATTAGTGCCGTTCTGGACTTGAAAGATAAGCCGGTTGGTAGCATTATGACTCCAATGGACGACGTTTTCACTATGTCTGCGGACACTGTTCTGGACGAAGACACGATGGATTTGATACTCTCCCAAGGATATTCCCGCATCCCGATTCACGCGCCAGATAATCCCACAAATTTTGTTGGCATGCTTCTGGTTAAGATGCTGATCACATACGACCCCGAGGACTGCAGGCGAGTACGAGAGTTTGCATTGGCAACTCTACCCGAGACTCGCCCTGAAACAAGCTGCTTGGATATCGTCAATTTTTTCCAGGAAGGAAAGTCCCACATGGTCCTGGTGTCCGAATACCCCGGTGAAGACCGCGGTGCCTTGGGTGTTGTTACTCTGGAAGACGTGATTGAGGAGCTTATTGGCGAGTACGTTACCTATCTTCTCGGCATAGTCTTGAATCAGGATTCTGAACTGACTCTGATGACAGGGAAATCGTTGACGAATCGGATGTCTTTATTGATGTTCATAAGGCGATAAGGCGCATGACGCCTGCACCCATTAAATCCCGGGTTCCTAAGGGCCAGATTGTGGAAGAACCTCCTTCTTTGCCCCCTCAGAAGACTGGTACTTTGGTGGATGTAGATGGCGAACCTCAAACCTCCAAACCCCCTGCGAACGTTCGGCGTCGAAGCTCAGTAGAACCACCACTGCCGCGTTTCCAGCTTCGGATGCCACAGTCGGATAGGAACTCAGATTCCACAGATGGCCTAGTGACCAAACGAGGAACCACGGACGAAATTCGTGAACACTTGAAGCATCTCGGGCCTTCGAATTTAGCCAGCCGACCGCGTCAAACCCGGTACCAGAATGTTAAGATAAAGCGGGCTAGCGTCTCGCCGACTCGGTCTGCGCAAACCGACATGGACTCTGGTCATAGTACGTCTGGCTCCCAGGCCCTGCGCCCCATGTCGACCGCCTTACCCGGTGGGATTGGCGAGGGACTAGTCCAGCCGGGGCTAGATGCAAGAGATGGCGCATACGCTGTTCGTGTAGGTTACGGTACCATGACCGGACCTAAGCCCGCCGATGCTGGGACCCAAACAACAGGGAAGGACGTCTCAATCCCAGAAGCGGTTCACGAAGAACAAGACGACCCACCTCGTCCATCCGGCAGTGCTGCAATCAGTGTTAAATCCGAAAGCTCGAACTCGCAGAAGTTTAAACCGACCAGCTACCAGCATCAAGGTCCTGCGCGTAGTGGCAGTATCACGGAGCATGTGGTTGATGTCAACGGGATCCGCAAAGTGGTTCTCCACACAACCAGCACCAGTTCATCTGATCACGAGGGACGTGCATCACCTAAAAGCAAATTTCCAACTCAACGGAATGGGGAGGTTGTCGATCTGAATGGTCATAAATCCGACGGCACTCAAGGCGATGTGACTAAAAAACGTCGTCGTCGGCGCAAGCGTGGGCAAGCATCAAAGCACTCGGACAACCATGTGGACGAGGCATCGCCACTTCTGCCACAATGACAACGCTTTCGTGCCTCCTCTGCCGGGCAGAGATGTTCAAACTGACCTTTTGTTTTTAAAGAAGCGTCGCGCAGTGTATATTGAACTGCCTGTTACTTTTATTGTATGCTTGTTGGAGAAATAGTAGTTTCTTTCGTGGTGTATCATTTTACCCACTGTCTCTGTCGTACAGAACGGTCTGTGTCACCACAGCTTACAGTTCATCTATCCTTATCTCATGTGTGTAAACTTCAAAAGACTGACTGCAGTATTCAATATGACCACTATAGCTATGAAACACCATTTCCCATCCGCGATCATCAAGGTACAGGCAAAAACAGAGCGATCGAAAAGTCTCCTAATTTATCACCATATACAGTCACATAGGCTTTACCAAAAACTCCATTAGCTGAGCCAAGGCTCCTGTCCCACTGATTAAATGGCGGCACCCAGGCGCTCGCTCCGCATGCTGACACAGTGCAGAAAGAGACCCAGATTTTTTGGCACAAGTCGGACAAAGATACTTGTCAAATGCCTGACCGAACATTCTGTGTCCCTGTTTGGTGGAGAATTCCGATGAGATGGCTTTGATCATATCCCCAGTAATGCCGCAAGCACAAGACCCCGATTCCAGGTGAGCAATCATACTGGAGTAGCTCCCGAACATTAAAGAGCACCCGAGACACCGTAAAGCCCGCTCCTGGTGGCTATATTTATGCTGTCGTCAATATTAGCTCTATATCCTCAACACACCCAAATCTCACCAAGAAAAGCCCATAGAATACAACATTCCAAAAGGAGCGGAAAACTAAACGTAGGGGGAAAAAGGATGAAAGGGGCATACCATCTCCAAACTGTTACCATCCCCGAAGACCTGACGACAAACATCACAAGATAGATGTGCGCTGCGCACATGGACATCAAGGGCCTCCGTGCCTGCGAATGCGCGTCTACAAGTTAGGCACTCATGATGATCATTTTGCAAATGAGCCTTGAGTTCTTTTTCTGTTATGAAGTCCTTGTGTATGCATCGCTGGCATATGTTATGCGCGGCAGAACGATCTATGTGTGCTGCTTTTGCTGTTTGAGAGGGA